TTGATCATCCAAGAGGCTGTGAATGCCAATTTAAAGCCGGAACATATGATCAAGAAGGTGCTAGTTTTCACTTCCCATTCCTCTAGTCTCTTGATTTTGTAGAAACTAACACATAAATTAAACCCTATATATTATGAAATCATAGTACGAGTAAGTATGGATCGTTCTATTCTGGCGATTACAAGGGATGCTAATCAAAACAAATTAAACTTATAAAACTGAAAACTAAATTAAACTAACATTAAAACAATCAGGGGGGAGTTTTTGGACGAATTTAATTAAAACAAAAGTAAAGGGCATCAAGTAAATTAAGTTGTGAATGAAATATGGATGAAAGGATAGCTAAAGGATTCTTCTCCACACATGAAACATATGCATACAAATCGATTTCCAGTTATTCTTCCTATAAACCATGAATGACAATGCCCCAAATTAATTGTGAACAACACTAATTAACTCTCAGATTTTCCTAAGTTCACTGAATTGGACTCAACTACGTAACCAAATTATTCTTCTCAAGTTCCCTAACTATGAAAAGTATGATAGAGATACATCTCAAAGATCATTAAGTTATGTGAAAATCATAAGCATTGACAAAACATTCGTAACTATGAAAAGCAGGATACTCCTGCCAAGAATTTACTTAACTCAATCATGACTAGTGACTTTTACTACTTACAAATATAAGTTCATAGTGAAATTCCCTTATATTCTAACATCAAATCCCTGCATGCAAACTAAGTATGCACCCTTAATAAACATACAAGAATAAGTTCTCTATAAAGCAAATAAGTAAATCGCATTCATGTTTTATGTAACAATAACTGGATGTAATCAATTTATATAAAACATATGATCATGGCTTCGAATTCACCTCTAGCAAAATAGAAACTTAGTTACACATGTTCATCATAACTGAAAAACAATTTAAAATAAACATTGAAACTTAAAACAAAGATAGAAGGAACTCTGAAAATTCTAGCAGCTTCAATGGATGAATGGTAGGCATGGCACCCTTAAATCTCTGCAAGAATTTCATATATATAGGGGAAAATGGCTGAATCCAAGGAGGAAAGGGTTTTGGCGTTTTGAGTTATTTTAGGACTCTAAAAATTAGGTAGAAAGTATTAGAATGTGATTAGAAATCCTCATTGCAGTTGGAGATATGATAAGATAATGTTGGATAAGATAGGATAGGATAGGATAGGATAAGATAATGTTCCTCTCCAATTAGGATTCCTCTTTCTTGTATAATTCCTTGCCTTCCAAGCCTCAACTTTAATTTCTTCAGATTTTAGCACATGTCTAGTACCATTTAAACACCAAAAACGTTCAGCTCATATGTTATCCACGCATGTTATCCAATCCAAGTCAAAAACTGCTCCAAATTGCTCTATTTAGCTATTTATTGTCATCTTTACTAACTGGACCTACAATAATACGAAAATAACATAAATTACCAATATAAATGGAAATTAACTAAGTAAATGCAAAGAAATAAGATTACAAAGTCGCATAAATATGTTCTTATATGGGAAATAAGGAGCAAGTTTGAGGACAAAGGTTACTGGAATGCGGTGCCATCTCGACCACTATGTGTTTAGGTGGCTCAGCCATCTCGACCCTCCTTCCAGACTACTAGGGGTGACCTTCCTCACTGGCTACACGGATGCTTTAACCAAGTTGTTCCTGGATAATGCGGGGGAAGTTGGCCCCGAGCATGTCGTGGAAGCCACCATCTGTGGAAAACGACACTCAAATATGGCTGTGGTGGACTGATCACTCAATCCTCATGATCCTTCGTTTTGTTTATGGGAATGGTTTTCTTGCTATTTTCACGTCTGACTATGTTCTTCATGTCGATGAACATATGATTGTGACTTTTTCTGTTTTTCTATATCCTCAAATTTGGGTTGTGCTTCGTTTCTCCTTGCTTACTACCTACTTTCGACTGGATGTTCTTCAATTCACTTTTTACCTGTATGCCATGTTTGCTTTATAAATAAAGTCTTCAATTATTTTTAATAAAGCTTGTAATTAATGAAAGTTTATGGAACTTGGAAGAGCTCAACATTCTAATCTGTAGCAAGTTTTGAGGACAGCGTATACTTTCAAAGTTGGTATGAACAGTAGGTTATTACGTTTGAAGAAAGCATGGTTAGTCCCTTTGTTTTTGTTGGTATCTGTCTACTGCTCTTTTTATTAGTATTTACGAATTTGTATATTAGTTAGGCGTTGTGGGTAATATTGCGTTTGGCTATAGTTTTTATCACTATCGGATTCGAACGCTGCCTTCAACTGCAAAGCAATTGTGGATTTCTTTTGAAGGAATAATAAGTTTGGCACTAGAGAGTCGTACCAAAAGCATGCTATCGACATACTTACTAGTAGAGATATGGAGCTCAAATGAATGCGCGTTCCTCCAAAATGCTACAATTCCAAATGGATCCCTATATGGAAGAGGTTACGTCTGTTTGTGTGTGCAAAAAGGAAAAATTGTAGCGTGTCAGATGTGTTGGTTAGCTTATAAGTATAGGGATTGAATTACAATGTATTAGTTAAAAGAGTTTAGTAATACCATCTTGTTGAAACGATATCAGATAGGCGGAGAATTCAGATATATTCATTTCCTTTGTAAGATTAGTTAGTACGACATGTTATAGAGAAGCGGTTTTTTTTTATTTGTTAAAACTGATATAGGTTTGAGACTACAACTACAAGATGAACTTTAAATCCAAACTGCAGTACAAGAAACGCCTAGGCTTAAAAGATATTTTTTACCTTGGGGATTGTTGAGAGTTGTCCCACATTAAGGGACAAGGTTTGTTATGTGCTTATATGGTCTTGCGCTACTCTTCATATTGCCAATTGGTTTTATGGTGGAACCTCAATTTCATCATGGTATCAGAGTGGGTTGTCCTCGTGTGAAGCCAAATGGCCACACGCGCTCCACGTCACCCAGTTGTTGTCCACGTGTAGGCTTGAAAATCCGCCACACGTGCGGGGGCATGTTGGGAGTTGTCTCACATTGGTGAGGGACAAGGTTTGCTATGTGCTTATATGGTATTGGGCTACTCCCCATATTGCCAATTGGTTTTATGGTGGAACCTCAATTTCATCAGGGATATTACCTGAACGCACAATTAGTATACGCATCACGCATGCACAAAAAATAGGTTTGCTTCCTCGTTCGGAAGCAAAAGCCTGTGTAAACTACGAATTTTGGAGGATTCGCATGATGACTATACTGAAATCGTATGGTCTCTGGGAGTTGGTCGAAAATGGGTTTAAACCTCCAGATGCGAAGGATAAGAAGACTGCCGGAGACGACGGAGGAGGTGTCATACAGTGAGATCTTGTTGAGAGATGCTTGAGCGCTTGGAATAATCCAGGGAGCTATCTCAGACTAGATCTTCCCCAGAATCGTGAATGAAGAAACGTCCAAAGGAGCTTGAGATGTCTTGAAAGGTGAATTTCGAGGAGATAAACAAGTAAGAAATGTAAAATTGCAAGGGTTACGTAGAGATTTTGAATATCACATGAAGGATAATGAATCTTTATTTGTGTATCTCACTAGATTATTTGATATCATTAACCAAATGAGAAGTTATGGAGAAAAAACTATATAGGGAGAGAATTGTGCAGAAATTACTAATTAGTCTTCCAAAAACATATGATGTAATCTGTTCTGTGATTGAGCACTCTAAAGATCTCGAAACTCTTGAGGTCCAAGAAGTTGTTGCTTCACTCAAGGGGTTTGAGCATAGGCTTGATTTACATGTTGAAACTTCCACTGAGAGAGCATTTGCAAGTTTTAATGTGGCAACTAAGGGTTCTAGAAGTGGTGGATTCTCTGGAAATCAGAAATTTCAAAGGAATTGAAAACCAAGAGGGAAAGGTTGGGATCACAAGCCTAACTTTGTTCATAGACAAAAGCTCAGAGAAATTGGGATCACAAGCCTAATTATACTCATAAGCAAAATAACACTCAGGGAGATTGCAAATGGTGTGATAGGTTTCACTATGTGAAGTGTTGGTATGAGGGTAAACCAAAGTGCACAGGTTGTGGCAAACCAAGTCATGCTGTGAAAGATTGCCATGAGAATAAAGCAATGCAGAAGGTTAATTATGCAAGGCAAATGGGAGAAACATGATCTTTATTCTATGTCTGCAACAGTGACTGATGTAAAAGTGAACAACTCTTGGTATATGACAGTGGTTGTAGTAACCACATGACAGGTGATGAGAGGTTATTAGTCAATATCTAGAGAAATTTGACTTGTAAAGTGAAGATGGGGACTAGAGAAATTGTTCAAGTTGCTAGAAAAGGGAACCCTAGTAATAAAGACCAAATTGGGAAGAAAACACATACAAGAAGTGATGCTTGTTCCTGGACTCGAGGAGAACCTTCTCAATGTTGGACAGATGATTGAACATCACTATTACTTAGTGTTTGGAGGAAATGTAGTGAACATTTTTTATAGCTGGTCACTTGATAATCTCGTAGTTAAAGTGCAGATGACAAGTAACAGGTGTTTTCACTACTACAAAAATGGCTTATTGTGTTGCTGGTTGGTGTCGGTTTTATATAATATACTGGCGGATAAAACATTTCCGACACTCTCTTTACATGGTGTCGAAATTAGTGTCGGGTATAACTGACATAGATTGTTAATGTCGCTTATAATCGACATAGCTTTTAATCTTTTTAAATGGCGGTGTCGTATAAAAAGAAAACCATGTCGCTTTCAACCGACATAAAGTTAGTGTCGGTTAAAAAAAAGAATCGTGACGCTTCTACCCAACATTAATAATTATTTTAAATATTGTAAAACCTGGTGTCGGTTCTAGCCGACACTAATAATTGCATTAGGGATTGGAATGTTTTATTTGGGTTTTAAAACCCACTTTTGTCAACATCTATCAGACATTTCCCTTTTTTAATACATTATCCTTCTCCTCCCATTACTTCACGTGACTTTCTCTCTCTCTCTCTCTTACACACACATCACATCATTTTTTCTTTCCTTCTCTTAGGCTAGTTCCCTCACATGGGTTTCTTTCTCCCTCTCTCACACACATGCCTCATTTCTCTCACTTCCTTTCTTTTCTTGTTTTTTTTTCTAATCGGTGCTTCTTCACCCCCATTATTTTCCGTCTCCCTCACGTCTCTCTCTATACCCACCCACTCAACCTTCCTTCATCCCTCTCTCTCTTTCCTATTCTTTCTCTTTTTCCTCGACTTCTCCATTTCCCATCCCTTCATCTTCTTCTCTTCTGAAAATCTACCAATCAAAACACTGCAAACATCTCCCTTTAGTCTACAAATCAAAACCAGCCAGGTTTTATCCCTTCCTTTATCTCTCAACTGCACATCTCCCTCTATCCCACTAACGCACTTCTCCGTTTCCACGCGCAGAGCTTCTAGATCTGCTAAGGACACCAAGCCAAGCTTAGTTCTGCATAATGGGTTCCACCACTGTTCATTACGTACCCCAACTAGTTCTCGAGCTCTCGACTTAGTAAGCCTCCATACTACTCCCTTTCATTTCAGTTTCCGTTTTCTAGGTTGGTTTCGACTTACATATAATCTTAGAACCCCCATCGTGGTTGAAAAAATGAATGTGGGTTTTGTTCATTTCGATGTGTTTTGGATGCAAAATCAGTGAGAAAATTAGTGTGATTTAGAGATCTTTGTGCTTAGATTGGAAAATGTAGGTAAACAGAAGTTACTTTTTGAATTTTGAAGGATTAACAATTCGTTTTCCCTCCTAAACGAATTGTTTTCATTTCCCCAAAAACTCAGAGGGAATGGAAGCCACGAAAGCCACCAAGGGCGCTGACGGAAGAAAAGGTGGAGAGAGGAAGAAGTCGGTGTCCAAGTCAGTTAAAGCCGGCCTCCAATTCCCCGTCAGCCATATCACTCGTTTCCTCGAAAGGGGACGCTACGTCCAATATACCAATACCAGCGCTCCCATTTACCTCACCACCGAGGTGATTTCCCGATCCACATTTCTTACATCTAAACATATTATGTTTATATATATTTTTAACTTTTGGTAATTATTATTAATAACTGAGATAGATTTTGTTTTTAATTATTAATAGTTTGTGGTGTCACTTATGGGTGACATTATATTAGTTATTATATTTTTCAAATTGTTAGGTGGTGTCGATTAGGACCGACACTAGTATGTTCCATCTGCTAGTCTTTGTCAGTACGTAATGTCGCTTGTAACTGACGTGAGCCTCGATGTCACTTTTAACCGACGTTACTTGGTGGCGGATTACGGGGACTAATCGATATCAATACCCTTTCGAGACACTAGCAAAGGTGTCAGTTTTTCTATCCGACATTGCATGATTTGATATTGGATTTTTACCAAAAATCCTATAGTAATTAGGATTTCTTGTCGGTTTTTACACCACCAGTGATAGCCTCTTTTATAGTAGTGTTTCCTTTGACAATGATGCCTGCAAATCAATTTGCACTAAGAGCAAGTGTCACACATTACTTTCAGATTTGGCATAAAAGGTTGGGACACTTGAATGAGAGGAGTCTCAAAATGCTTGAAGAATAGGAAATGGTGCATGGACTGCCCCACTTGGAAATGTCTACAAAAGTATGTGAGGGTTGCATGATGGGAAAATAACACAGGGATTCATTCCTTTTTGAGTCAACTTGGAGAGCCAAGAAACCATTGGAATTAATCCACACAGACATCTATGGTCCAATGCAAGTTGAATCACACTCTGGAAACAAGAACTTCTTGTTATTTACAAATGACTGCACTAGCATGACATGGATGTATTTCCTGAGATATAAGTCTGATGCATTTGAGTGTTTTAAGAGGTTCAAGGTAATGACTGAATTACAATGTGGCTATAAGGTGAAGTGTCTCAGAAGTGATAGAGGGGGAGAAATCATTTCTGCAGAATTTGAAAAATATTGCAGTGAGTTAGGAATTCGAAGACAGTTGATTATGGCCTACACTTCCCAATAAAATGGAGTGTTAGAGAGAAAGAATATAACTGTGGTGGAAATGGAAAAATCAATGTTGCATGAAAAGAACCTTCCATATGAGTTTTGGGCAGAAACAGTGAATATTGTAGTTTATTTACTTAATAGGCATCCTTCCAAAACCTTGGAGAAAACAACTCCATTTAAATGTTATAATGGCAGAAAACTAGGGATAGCTCACTTAAAGATCTTTAGTTCACTTTGTTATGTGCGCATTCCTTCAAATATCAGGCAGAAGTTGGAAGAAAACAGCTATAAGTGCATCTTTGTGGGTTATGGTGCCAGTGAGAAGGGCTATAGATTGTTTGATCCGATTTCAAGGAAGATCATTCTCTTAAGAGATGTTACATTTGATGAGAATACTTCCTGGGATTGGAACTACATTACAAGTAATAAGGTGAGATTTCCAGTTGTCACTGAGTATCACAATGCTAATGAGAACTGTGAAAGTGGTGAAAGTTCTCATTCTGAGCAACCTATTATCTCTCAAAGTGAAAGTGGGATTGGCAGGTCTCAAAACCCAAAAAGTGGAGAAGTATGAGTGAAATCATGGCTCAGTGCAATATGTGTATTATTGAACCTTAAAGTTATGATGATGCAGCCAAATATGATTCATGGAAGAAGACAATGGAAGCTGAGTTGGAAATGATAGAGAAGAATAACATATGGCAACTTGTTGAGAGACCATTTGACAAGCCAGTCATTGGTGTTAAGTGGGTTTATAAGAACAAACTCAATCTAGATGGTACTATGCAGAAAAATAAAGCTAGTTTGGTGACTAAAGTCTATTCACAAAACCCTGGAATTGACTACAATGAGATATTTGCCCTTGTGCCAAGGTTGGACACCATAAGAACCTTAATTACTCTTGCTGCACAAAAGCAATGGAGCTTGTATCAATTGGATGTGAAGTCTGCATTTATCAATGGAGTATTAAAGGAAGAAGTGTATGTTGAGCAACCACAAGGGTTTGTGAAGGAGAATGAAGAAACGAAGGTGTAGAAACTGAACAAGGCACTGGATGGATTGAAACAGGCACCAAGGCTTGGTATGATGAGATTGATGCTTATTTCAACATTGTAGGTTTCAAGAAAAGCTCAAGTGAAGTAACCTTGTATGTTAAAACAATGGAGGATTCAGGCATCATTATTGTTTCCTTATATGTAGATGATATTGTATACACTGGTAGCAGTCCACAAATGTTTCAAAATTTTAAAAGTGATATGATGAAGCATTACGAGTTGACAGATTTAGGGTTGTTACACCATTTCATTGGAATAAGAGTACTACAAACTGAGAAGAGTATTTTCATACACCAAAAGAAGTATGCACATAAGTTAATTGAGAAGTTTGGGTTAAAAGATTGCAAAATTGTGGCTACCCCACTTGCAGTGAATGAGAAATTAAGCAAGATTGATGGAAGTGAAGCTGGAAATTAAGGAGAATATAGGCAGCTTATGGGAAGTCTTCTTCACTTGAAAGTAACTAGACCTGATGTGATGTTTGCAGCAAGCTTATTGGCAAGATTCATGCATAATCCCACCAAGAAACACATGGGGACATCAAAGAGGGTGCTGAGATACATTCAGGGAACAATTGACTTTGGAATCGTTTTTGAAAAAGGGAAAGCAACTACCCTAATTGGTTACTATGATAGTGACTGGGCAGGAAGTGAATATGATATGAGGAGCACTTCAGGGTATGCATTTACACTAGGTCTGGTGTGTTTTCATGGGCATCAATCAAGCAAAACACAGTGACATTGTCCATTGCAGAAGCAGAATATGTCGGTGCTGTATAAGCTACTTCTCAACCAAAATGCCTGAGATTTGTGCTTGAAGACTTTGGAGAGGAACAAGTGGAAAGAACTCAGATCATGTGTGATAATACATCAGCCATTGCTATGGCAAACAATCCTGTCTTTCACCAAAAGACATCAGCAGAAAATTCCACTTCATCCGAGAAGCAATTCAAGCCAAGGAGATTGAACTAGTGTACTGCAAAACTAAGGAGCAAATTGCAAACATTCTCACTAAAGCCTTGCCTAAAGACCCCCCCGCATAACCTATATCACCCACACCGTTACACCATTCACCATCTCCGCAATTTGTGAGAAGAGCTTAGGGATGTGCTTTGCCATGGACTCCGGGTTCTATCTTTCTTTCATTTTTTATTTCTATGTGTAACTAAGTTATTTTCTAAGGTTTATGATGAAGCCATGACATGAATATTTGCGAAATACTTTGTTAATTATTATCTGATTATATGCCATGTTATATTCTTCATCTTTGTGGGTATTTTATTCTAGGTTCGAATTTCTAATGATTGATCACCTTTAGGAATTTTGCATGACCAATCAATTAGGTTTATTGGAATTAAGATTAAGAATAGTAGACAAACTAGTGAGGATGACCAATATCAAGCTAGTCCTACTTGGTTGACATGATTCTTCTACGCTTAATGGGTTTTTATATGTTCAATTGTATGCCTAACCAATAGGATATAGTTATCATGTAGAGATACAAGAGTTGATGCCTGACCACGGATTAATTCATACCTTAGAAAGAACAACCTTTAACATTGGCATGGTAATTGGATAGTAGTTGGCTAAGAAAAGTAAATAGGATTGTTATTGGTGAATTAATAACCTTAGGTTTTCTTGTCGTGTGTTTATTTTAATTAGTTGTCTTTTCTTTTTCTTATTAATTTTATTCTTAATCAATTACTCAATTATTCGATTCAATCTATCCTTTGTTTGTTTAATTAAGTCTAGCATGCTTAATCGGTTAAATTGGTATCAAAAGCACTCCTTGTGGGGTCGACCTCGTATTTGCATATATTGCTACAATTGATTCGTGCATTTGCGAGTTTAATTTGGTTTAAATTAATCTATTATTTAGGTTAGTTTAAATATACATCAAGTTTTTTACGCTGTTGCCGGGAATTGCCCCTCAATTCCAATTCAGCTTGCTAATTGAGCTTTACTTAATTTTTCTAGTTTAGTTTTCATAGTTTTTTTCTTTTAATTTATTTTATTTTTTTAAGAAAAAAAACAAAACAAAACGAAAAAGTTGCAGTACCCACGGTAGGATTCTCTGTGGTGGAATTCTTTGTCCATTAGTTATTAGGCTTACTGGCACTGCACTCTTTTAGGTTTTTTCCCTTACGTTTCTTTTACGAAATTTTTTAATTTCTGTTTATTATTAATTTTAGTCTTAATCAATTACTCGATTATTGAATTCAAACTATCCTTTGTTTGTTTAATTAAGTCTAGCGTGATTAATCGGTTAAATTGGTATTAAAAGCAATCCCTTTGGGATCGACCTTGTATTTGCATATATTACTACAATTGATTCGTGCGCTTGCGAGTTTAATTTGGTTTAAATTAATCTATTATTTAGGTTAGTTTAAATATACACCAAGTTTTGGCGTTGTTGCCGGGGATTGCCCCTTAATTCCAATTTGGCTTGCTAATTGCACTTTACTTAATTTTTCTAGTTTAGTTTTCATAGTTTTTTTTTTAAAGAAAAAAAACAAAACAAAAAAGTTGCGGTACCCACTGTAGGATTCTTTGTGGTGGAATTCTTTGTCCATTAGTTATTAGGATTACTTGCACTACCTTTTTTAAGTTCTTTCCCTTAAGTTTCTTTTACGATTATTTTTTTAATTTCTGTTTATTATTTTCCTTTTCCATTGTTACTTTTAAATTCCGTTGTTGGAGGGAAGAGATAGCTTGGCAGCAATTTTCAATGGAACATTGGCTTTCTAGTGCTCAATTCTCAAAGTTTATGCATGAAGCCACACCCGTATAACCCAAGAAACCTTCATGGGAAGAAGCTTTTGCATTGATAGTTCAAGCTAATATGCAATATCAGCAAACAACAACTCAACTTTTGCAAATTCTCACTCAAGGACATCAAATTCTCCAACATGGAAAGCAAGAAAATGCCCAAGCAATCACAATTTTGGAGAAGCAAGTTGGTCAAATTGTTGCGATATTGAGTAAAAGAGATTGAGAAAAATTTCCAAGTGAATCCAAATATAATCCGATTGAGCGAGATGTGTTCCATGAAGAAGATAGTGCCTAAACCACATGAAAAGTGAGGAGGACTTCGACAACAAATTGAGTGAACTAGTTGTAGTTGAAGAAAAGAAAGAGTATTCAATGTTGGAAGACCATCTTCATGATCTAACTAGTCAAATCACTACCAACGAGAAGTCACTTTCTGAACAAATTCATATTGTTGACAGGGTATCGAATTTTAAAGTGTTTGAAGAAAATCCATCTCCACCAAAAAACTTTCGCGTCTTACATCTTTGAATCCATTGATCTTAAAGTTCCAAATTCATTGATTCTACATGAATTCAAAGATCCTTTTGAAGTCCACTACTCGAATTATAGAAGAGAGTTTGTAATTGAATCAATAATTGAAGTTATGTATGATCAACGCACTTCCATTCCGATGGCCAATATATGGTGGAAGAGACAACGGAAAAAAAATGAAGAGAAAGAAGTCTCGAGCTTTGAAATTGAAGAAGCAAAAATATGTAGTGCCTCATTGCCTTGTATCGACACCAAATTTCAAAGCTACAAGGTGGAAGAAAGGGAAAAAGAAGAAGATTCACGGAGTGGTTCCTCATTTGAATGATCCACCATCCTCCACTTAATTTCAGTATAGTCTAGCCCTTGACTATAAAGAAGCGTTTTTTGGGAGGCAACCCAAGTTTTCTAAATTTTTCATTTGTTTGCGTAGTTTTTAATTTTGTTTTTTTAGAGTAAGAAAAAACAAAATTTAAAACTACGCAAACAAATGAAAAATTTAGAAAACTTGGATTGCCTCGTAAGAAGCGCTTATTTATAGTCATGAGCTAAACTATGCTGAAATTAAGTGGAGGATGGTGGATCATTAAAATGAGGAACCACTCTGTGAATCTTCTTATTTTTCCCTTTCTTCCACCTTGTAGCTTTGAAATTTGGTGTTGATACAAGGCAATGAGCCATTGCATATTTTTGCTTCTTCAATTTCAAAGCTCGAGACTTCTTTCTCTTCTTCATTTTTTTCCATCGTCTCTTCCACCATATCTTGGCCATCGGAATGGAAGTGCGTTGATCATATATAACTTCAATTATTGATTCAATTACAAACTCCCTTCCATAATTCAAGTAGTGGACTTCAAAAGGATCTTTGAATTCATGTAGAATCAATGGATTCAAAGATGTAAGACGCGAAATTTGTTCGGTGCAGATGGATTTTCTTCACACTTTAAATTTCGACACCCTGTCAACAATTTGAATTTCTTCAAAAAGTGACTTCTCGTTCGAAGTGATTTGACTAGTTAGATCATGCAGATGGTCTTCCAATATTGAATAGTCTTTCTTTTCTTCAACTACAGCTAGTTCACTCAATTTGTTGTCGAAGTCCTCCTCACTTCTCAATGTGGTGCAGGCACTATCTTCTTCATGGAACACATCTCGCTCAATCGGATTAGATTTGGATTCACTTGGAAATATTTCTCCGTCTCTTTCACTAAATATCGCAGCAATTTGACCAACTTGCTTCTCCAAATTTGCGATTGCTTGGGCATTTTCTTGCTCCCCATTTGGAGAATTTGATGTCCTTGAGTGAGAATTTGCAAAAGTTAAGTTGTTTGCTGATATTGCATATTAGCTTGAACCATCAGTGCAAAAGTTTCTTCCCATGAAGGTTTCTTGGGTTCCACGGGTGTGGCTTCATGTATAAACTTTGAGAATTGAGCACTAGAAGGCCAATGTTCTATTGAAAATTGCTGCCAAGCTATCTCTTTCCTCATACAATAAACAATGAAACGGAATTAAAAAGTAACAATGGAAAAGGAAAATAATAAACAGAAATTAAAAAATTTCGTAAAAGAAACGTAAGGGAAAAAACCTAAAAGAGTGCAGTGCCAGTAAGCCTAATAACTAATGGACAAAGAATTCCACCACAGAGAATCCTACCGTGGGTACTGCAACTTTTTCGTTTTGTTTTGTTTTTTATCTTAAAAAAATAAAATAAATTAAAAGAAAAAAACTATGAAAACTAAACTAGAAAAATTAAGTAAAGCTCAATTAGCAAGCTGAATTGGAATTGAGGGGCAATTCCCGGCAACGGCGTAAAAAACTTGATGTATATTTAAACTAACCTAAATAATAGATTAATTTAAACCAAATTAAACTCGCAAATGCACGAATCAATTGTAGCAATATATGCAAATACGAGGTCGACCCCACAAGGAGTGCTTTTGATACCAATTTAACAGATTAAGCATGCTAGACTTAATTAAACAAACAAAGGATAGATTGAATCGAATAATTGAGTAATTGATTAAGAATAAAATTAATAAGAAAAAGAAAAGACAACTAATTAAAATAAACAAACGACAAGAAAACCTAAGGTTATAAATTCACCAATAACAATCCTATTTACTTTTCTTAGCCAACTACTATCCAATTACCATGCCAATGTTAAAGGTTGTTCTTTCTAAGGTATGAATTAATCCGTGGTCAGGCATCAACTCTTGTATCTCTACATGATAACTATATCCTATTGGTTAGGCTTACAATTGAACACATAAAAACCCATTAAGCGTAAAAGAATCATGTCAACCAAGTATGACTAGCTTGATATTGGTCATCCATCCTCACTAGTTTGTCTACTCTTCTCAATCTTAATTCCAATAAACCTAATTGATTGGTCATCCTTATAGATTTATCTAACTATCTAGATGCAAAATTCCAAAAGGTGATCAATCATTAGAAATTCGAACCTCGAATAAAATACCCACAAAGATTAAGAATATAACATGGCATATAATCGGATAATAATTGACAAAGTACTTCACAAATATTCATATCATAGCTTCATCATAAACCTTAGAAAATAACTTAGTTACACATAGAAATAAAAATGAAAGAAGGATAGAACCCGGAGTCCATAGCAAAGCACGTCCCTAAACTCTTATCATAAATTGCAGAGATGGTGAATGGTGTAGCGGTGTGGGTGATACGGGTTATGTGGGGGGGGGGGGCTGGCGGGGGCGGGGGGTGTCTGTAGAGATAGCTTAGTACACCTTATTTATACTAGAAAAACCCTAAAAGGTCTGGGAGAAACTCTCCTAAATGGGAGAAACTCTCCTAAATAAAACAAAATCCTAAACAATCAATGACACAAACTAGGAAAGAATCCTTCTTGGCTTAGGAAACACGTCATCTGTCTTGTACACCAGTTTTGGGGTCGATTTATCTTCTGGAAAATTATGTAAAAATATGGGAAACGTAGCTATATCTCTTATCTTTAAATGCATTTATCGCACGCCACTAGGAAAAATCGGGAAAGCCTTAAAATCTTCCTTCTCCCACAATTGCACAATTCAGATGGGAAAACAACTTATGCGGTATTGATTTGTAAAACTGGAATGAGCTATCTTCCACCGCAAAGTGCTTTTGGCATTCTTCTGAAGATTCGTTTTGTATTCACAGACAGCCTTCCTCGATTACTCCACGGATCGGGGTTGGTGCAATGACTCCAATTTCTTGAAACTACGCCAACTCCGGTCCATGGACAAATCAAGAAAGGCTATCGAGGGGGCCAAAACGAATCTCCAAAAGAATGCTAAAAGCTATTTGCGGTGGAAGATAGCATACTTGCACACTCCGAAAGATCTCACACCTAGAATTTGATATTCAAAACCTTCAATAGGGGTGGATGGATAGAAAGCGAAGAGAAACAAGATCGAGATCGAGTTCAAAAAGTTCAAAAAAATTGTGGAGGTGGAGTTTAAGGACGACACTAGGAGCAACAAATGACAATGAGGGGGAGTAGGAATTCAGTTTTCCCTTTTGTGATTCAATTATGTATTCAATTCATGTTTTACTAATGTGAACAAACATTGGCATCATGTTTTCCTTATGTAAACTTTAATTCGAACTGACCATTTGACTATGGGCATTGGCTTTGAGGTGTGAGTTGCTAGACTTGCATTATGCTAATTACCTCGTCCCCCGTCAGTTTATTATTTATTTTTTTGGTTGGTGCAATTTCTGTTTGTTTATGGATTCAAGTGGCTTATTAGCATGCCCATACCATTGGCATTTGTCTCATTAGACATGATTACCTTCTATGGATGATTACTAATTACTTTAAATCTTCTACTCTATTATTAAGGAGAGATATTCATAATAGCGATTTCCCACTAAATTTGTAAAGAGCTGCCAATTTTCCCCTTGAATTTTAATTTCAATCGATTACTCCTAAACTTGTAAATTTAGCCAATTGACCCCCTGATGTTAGATTTGAGAAATTTTCATCCAATTTTCCATCCAACTCAGTTAAATGCGCGACACATGCCAATTGTCTAAGAGCAAAAAAATAATTTTATCCCTAATATGGACATTCTACATTTTCCCCATCTTTTTCTCTTACGCTAATTCGCTCCGTACACTTTTTGCTTAAATTAACCATAAAAGTCTAATTAGCAATTGCAAAATATTTGGCTTTGCGCCCAATTTACCAAAACGAAATCAATAATTTTTACGAGAATTAGTTTGCACTTAGAGTGCTTTAATAAAGTTAACAAATTACACACAAAAATATGCACCAGTCTTGCACCTTGTGCCAAAATCAAAGAAACCTATTAAATTTATAGTTCTGCAACATAATCTTATTAAAAGAACAACTTAATCTCAACAGCAAAGCTCTTCATTAACAGCAACAAAGCCATCCAACACATCATAGCTAAACTCTCCATGGTCTTGTGTCATGCCCTAGACCCTGGGTCAGTGGAAAACTTAACCCCTTGCCCAATACACGAGTAAAATATAAAATAAAACGAAAAATCGAACTTCTTTTAGAAGGAACTCATGACTTATGAGCAATGACTAAAATCGCCGATATTATCATTTTTCAGAGAGACCGATATTTTCCCATATATCCCCCTAATTATCGTCAAAATATCGCGATATTATCGATAATATCGCAATATATTCGATATTATCGAAACAATCGTCGTGGCTCCGTCGTCGGAAAGGCAGCCGAGGCTGCGTCGTCGCAGTTGCCCCAGATCTTTCTCTGCAATCCAGGCTCAGACCCAAGATCTGCGCCTCCGTCGTCGGAAATGAAAAATCCATTTTCTCCGGATCCCAAAACCTGCTCGGGTTTGATGGATCCTCCGCTTCGTACGGCCTAAACAAGGCCTCCCATTACCTGATGGTGCTCACCGGGAGGTGAGAAAGGGAGGAGGAACGGTCCACATGTGGTGATGGTGCTCGCTGGAGTGTGCACCACTGTGGTGGAGGTCACGTGAGGTGTGGGTGTGGTGTGTCTATGCTCCGGGAAGGAGAGTTGCAGAGAGATAGTTAGTTAAATTGAAGAGGAAAAGCAAAGAACACCATATAATAAATGAAACCCAGAAGATAAAATGTTCGATTTCTTACCTAAGATTTCAAAGAAGAAGAGAGAGAGAGGGGCAAAAAAATGCCTAAAACGCTAGAGAGAGAGTGTGTGTTTAGGAAATTTCGCTGAGGAGTGAGGAGATTGCTTTGCTAGAGGTTTCTGGAAAAGAGAGAGAGAAAGAGGCAGAAAGATTTCTGGGATTTTGTGTTTCAAGGAACTTCTCTCAAGGCAAGATTTTTTACGGGCTGATCGGAAATAAGAGAGAGAGAGAGAGAGATAGAGAGACTTATGGGATACGAAAAGAAAATGTCAAATATAGGATTGGGAGTCTCAATTTGGGACCTTGGGTTATGTGAGGGAGGTGAGGTGGAGGGGTCACCATGTGGTTTAAAGAAAATGTTAAACACTAATTTCATTCAAAATATCTTATATTTATTATTTTATTTTTTAAATTAAATTGTTTTATTTGGGAAATCCATCTTTGAGACCTTGAAAGTCTCTTTGAAGATCAGATCATGCTATATACTTGAAACTCTAACGTCACATATACTATTTAATATATAAATGATTATGGTGTGTTTAAACTTCTTTCATTGATTACTACATATTTTCTACACTCACAATGTTTGCCAGCTCGCTATATAATCAACTTAAATCAGTTAAATTCATCATGCAATGTATTTCCTTCTAATTTTTTGTGATAAACTAATAGATAATTGACTAAATAAACATCATGCAAAGTTTCAATAAAAATTTCCAAGTTTTTCTTACAATTTTCGTGGTTTTTATTCAATTTTTATTGATATCGATCGATATTTCCATGTTTTTGAACTACCGATATTTCCGATATCATCGATATTTTATACCTTGCTTATGAGTCATGAGATGCAAGGCCAGGTGGCAACTCATGATAGGTGGGTGCCATATCATCACATGAAGTGTCATATGAGTATGTAGATACTTGACAAGTAAGATATATAGATGGCTTGCTAAGGCTAATGTGCTGCAACAAAATTAATGCTTTGATACCATTATGTCACGCCCCAGACTCGGGATCGGTGGAAAAATTAATTTCGTGCTCGTTGTGCGAGTAAAAAGTAAAATAAAACAAAAGGATGAACTTTTCTTATAATAAGAACTCCAAAAGCCTGTACAAGATGTACAAAAATAAATAAAACCCTTAAATCTTTCTTGTCTAACACAACCTCAGCTCATCTAATACATGTCCTGTGTCGACCCTACAAGGTCTAAAATGGATAGGGTGAGTGAAATCACAGCCAGTAGGGACATAGGTCTTATCTATAATAATTGTCAAGGCTAAACCAAGTGTAATGCAACACGTAATCAATTATGACATGTGATCATTTTTTCTTTCTTTAAAAAATGGGACAACTAGTGGCAAGTCACGGTAATAACCGTTCAACTAATAAACCATGCATGCAGCTTAACTTTAATTACCTATCCGTTAATCTATATAATAAAACACACGGACCTGCACATCCCATACCATTCATTTTACCACTGCAGCGGTGGTCCGAATGCTCTATTCTACAAACTAACACTCGTAACTCAATCATCCCGAATGCTGTATGATTGTTAGGGATGACGCTGAAACTTTTGTAGCTGCTGCGAGCAAGAACTTCCCTGATATCTACTCCGCTTTACACGCTGAGGCATATTTAGTGGCTAGAGAATGTTTGTTTTGGACAATGGTAAGGGGTTTTACAAACTTACAAATTGAAGGTGATTCTCTTCAGATTGTTGGGGAGCTCTCGGACTCCTCCTCGAATTGGTAAACTCTCAGCCAAGTTGTGGAGGATACCAAAGCTTTCTTCCCTGCAGTCATTGAAGATTTAGTTGCCCACATCCGCCGCCAGGCCAACATAGTTGCAGCTTGCTCGTTATGCTCTTTCAATTAGAAGTCAATGTGAGTGGTTGGAGACCCTCCTACCTTCATTTTGGATCCCCTCATTGAGGATTGCTTGTAATCTCTCTTTGTAATCCTTGATGTGCTACCTAGGTTAAACCTTGTTAGGTTTCAACCATAATGAATACACTATCGCATCTTTTAAAAAAAAAAAATCACTTTTGCACCCTTGCTAGTACCTACGAGAGTTGAACTCAACCACACAAAAACTAGTTTTCATTTCCATAACCCAACCTTTGAATATTTCAATAAAATTCATCCACTCCAATATGCAATGACACATGCATGTAATCAACATTATAAAGATATCCACATTATTGAAAATAACAATAACATGTCAAGGTTCCAATATAAATAATTATATCAGTTATAAACATACTAAGTAGAACACATATTTCACAAAGTTTAAACAAAAGAAATACCCCAATAGTGACTAGTATATGCCCACACACAAAGTGTGTGTATTGTTTACTTTGGTGGTTAAAATTGAAGGAGAGAGGGAGAGAGGAAGAGAGTGAGAGAGAACATGAGAATGAGGAGAGAGGGAGATAGTTAGTTTTTTAATTTTTTTTTAATTAAAGATGATAAAATTACATGTAGGTGAGGTTTAAAAAAAAACTACAAAATTTTGTTTGTGAAATTACATTACTGTCCTTAACTTTTTTGTTGTGATAAAAAATAAAGATGCATTTTCATTCTCTTTTGGTTGACAAAGAGAATTTCATTAATGTAATTTTAGATAAGTTTCTCAAGAAACTCCCTATCTCAAATTCGAAGTTAAAACAAAAATTCACGTCACAAGTCACTACCGCAGTTGTAATCTTAAACGAAGATCCACGTCACAACTCACTACCACTACCGTAGTTGTAATTTAGCTTCTATCTTAAATCTTGATGCATTGCTTGACTCGGATGAAACATAAAATGTGAAACGTGAACGATGAATGTTGATTATAGGACTGGGACAGGGAGGGGACATGTAATGTTGGGACATAAGACCTTAACTCGTTCCCTTCTTCCCCAGAAGCCGAGCTGCAGAAGAACCCCACTGCCATCCAGCACTGATGATACTCTGAAAATGGGAAGCGTAAACAACAAAGCTCGACCATTCAGCACGCAGCACCACCAGCATCCTCTGTGCACCCGCACGCACCAGATCGGAGCCCTCCTCTTGGTCGCCGCCTCCTTCTTCTTGACTAGCCTCTTAGACCGCTCCTTCCGCCCCTGCGCCTCTCACTTCGCCGCCGTCGATATCTTCCCCAATTCACGGAGCTCCGTCCAAGTCACCGGCGGTCGAGATCTCTTGTGGCCGCACCGAGGGTACGGCCCCCTACTCGACCTCAAAATCTACGTCTACGATGACAGCGAGATCGATGGCCTCAAGGCATTGATGCGCGGTCGCGATGGTGTCATCGACTCCAACGCTTGCTTGAAAGGCCAATGGGGCACTCAGGTAATGTCATTCTCTATTTCCCAAAGTTTTTTGCTTTGCTTGAAATTTTAATTTCTTCAATTTTTTTGGTCGTTTGATGAACTTTAATTTCTAAGAAACTAATTTTGTAGAATTATCGGTAGTTTAATTTGTTTTTAATTAACTAAAAAAACTTGCTAATTGCTGAAGGAAAAAAGGAAGTGTTTTGAAATTCTTATTGCAAGGTTATGAGATGTAGGTTAAAATACACAGGCTACTGCTAAATTCGAGGTTTCGGACAAGGAAGAAAGAGGAAGCAGACCTATTTTTTGTGCCTACGTATACTAAATGCGTTCGGATGATGGGGGGTCTTAATGATAAGGAGATTAACCAGACATATGTGAAGGTAAATTCTTTTTCATTTCCTTGAGGAACTTTAAGCCTATGTGTTTAACCTCTTCTTATCGTTGCTTGAGCTCGGTGATGTTCTCTGTATTTGATGGGGATACATTTAAGCTCCTGTTATGTTATGCTCATTTTGGTCAAATTTTTCCTTGCAGGTGTTAAGTCAAATGCCATATTTCAGGCGATCTGGTGGCCGTGACCACATATTTGTTTTTTCAAGGTACGGTTGTTTCATGATGGTCATCAATGCATTTTCTTGTTTCGGCCTGATTTATGACTTGTTCCAACCTAAACTGTTTCATATGGTGGATAAGTAGTTGTTTTTCTGTTGTATATCTCTATCAGAAAAAAATTTGGGACATAATGTTGATTGTTGAGCACACATGTTGTAAGAAGGGTAAAAAGAAATAACTAATTTGGATTTTTAGCTCTGTCTGTAAATTGAATTAACTGAGCAGTTTCTTGTCTTTACCTATTTGTGTGGGATTTTGAATGTAAAACGCTTATATCCGGCAGATCCTTCTATCTGACATAGGATAGAAGGAAGAAATCGGATTTTAAACATTATATTTTTGTTGTCATGTTTATGGAAATGATGATTTTAGACTTTCAGTTGCATCAAGATGCCATGGAAAGTGTGATAATTTATTATATTTTCTTATATTTAATGCTGAGAAAATTGTGTGAACTCCATCATATCAATGTGATGGGCTTGTCAAAAGTTACTACGTATGAAAATTTTGTTCGGCTGAAAAAAATTATATCAAACTTTGTCAAGTTGTTCAGTCAATGATGCTTACTTCTTGCTTTTTCTCAACTGCAGTGGTGCTGGAGCTCACTTATTTAGATCCTGGGCAACATATATAAATCGTTCCATTATTCTCACCCCTGAGGTATTTCCCTATTCCAGCTTAGCTTTTATGCTTAAACTATTCTACAAGTTTTGTAGTGTTAATGATTGGCTAAAATTATCATTAAGGACACAAGTATTTGGTATCAATCAATTTGGCCTAAAACAGTGGTGATATTATCATTCTCCCTGTTAGGAATCTGTACAGGTCAGAGGCACAGAGTGGTTCTGGTTCTGTATGTGATAAATCTTGCATGAAAAATCTAGGTTTAACTTTCTTGTGGTTTGGATTTAAGGTTAATATTCAAGTTAGTCTCAAACCTCTGTGGTGCACATGATTATCAAACCACTTGCCTTTTTGTATTAACAAGATTTGATTTTAAACATTATCTTGTATGAATAAATTGTTCTGTTGCACAAAATTAGAATTAAAAATCCCAAATGATAGTGGTTTAGTAGAATGATAAAAAAAATATTGAGATTGTTGATGAAATAGTTATTCTAGATCATTTCAGCTCAGGGGAATGTATATACACTACCATCTCAATTTTCTACCAATTTTTGGGATGTCAAAGATTTGCAAGTCCTACTGGTGACGACTCTTTTTCTATTAGCAGAAAAAGGTTTAGTGCTAGATGTGTATGGAATGTCAAAATCTATGTCGCTATTTCCAATTAAAGTCCAGAGGGATTTAGTAAGTTGAGAGATTTAATAGGTGGTGTTATTTCATACACACACACACACATACTATTTTATTTATGTTAGAAGAGTGCACCTGCAATAAGTTATCATTAAGAAAAGAAAGTTCGGCTTGTCTCATTGTCACTCTTTTTTTCGTTTCCACATTTCAAGCAGTTTGGTAATGGCATTGCTACACTGGTCCTAATTTGTTCAATTGCATTAAAGATAGTTAATATATGTATGTTAGTGCAGGGCGATCGGACTGATAAGAAAGATACAAGTGCCTTTAATACGTGGAAAGATATCATAATTCCTGGGAATGTTGAGGACGGTATGACTACAAATGGGGCCACCTTGGTCCACCCTTTGCCTATACCAAAGCGGAAGTATCTAGCAAACTATTTAGGCCGTGCACAAGGAAAGGTTGGCCGTCTTAAGTTGATAGAGCTTTCAAGGAAATTTCCAGATAAGGTGTGTTTTGAATTGTGGAATTTTATGCATGTGACGTTCGTCCAACTTTGATGTGGTGTTGATTTCACATATGAAGTTTGATTATTTCTAGAATTCTATTTACCCTCCAGATTCTGTTAAATGGGAATCCACTTGTAAAGTTTGTGGAACTAAGCAAATGAAAGCACATTTGGTGCGTTTACTTAAGCATTATGGATGCACATAAGTAGTTGGAACTTGTGACTAAATACAAATAGTTTCTATATAATCTTTGAAATGTTTTTATGGTGGATTGAAGAAATTGCACAGGCACAAAAAAGGTACCAACTTCATGTTTCACCAACCTTCAGTTCTGTTAGTTCTTGGATTTTAATCTTCGAACTGAACATTTGACTATGGACATTGGCTTTGAGCTGTAATTGAGTCTCGAAGACTTTAGTTACGTTGAAGACCTAGACCTTCTCCTTTAGTTTATGCATTTATTTTGTTTGTTTTGGTGGAATTTGTGTTTTTTTTTTGGATTCAAATGACTGGTTAGCATGGCCATATCATTTGTCATCTTGTCTCATTTACATGATATTCCTTAATTGATGTTAGTCGTACCCAGTGCACAAGGCTCCCGCTTTACGCAGGGTCTGGGAGAGGTGAATGTCTTAATTGATGTTAGTAATTACTTTAATTCTTCTGCTCATTTATTAAGGAGAGAGATTCAAAATATGCCTGTTGATATTATAAACAGTTGGAATGTCCAGAGTTGAAGTTCAGTGGTCCTGAAAAATTTGGAAGAATAGATTATTTTGAACACCTGCGCGACGCCAAGTTCTGCCTTGCTCCACGTGGGGAGTCATCCTGGACTCTTCGATTTTATGAGGCTTTCTTTGTGGTCTGTTTGTCTTTCTCTCTCTCTCTCTCTCTCCCTGCTCCCACTTCCCTTTATCTCTCTAGACCTAAACATATAAGATAATAGTCTTGTAGAAATGATGCTTCTCTTGCTGCAACAGGAGTGTGTACCTGTGATATTATCAGATCAAGTAGAACTGCCTTTCCAAAATGTTGTTGACTACACCCAGATATCAATTAAATGGCCATCCACTCGAATAGGTCCCGAGCTTTTGCAGTACCTAGAGTCAATACCAGGTCAAATGCAGCACTCAGTTCACTTGTTGCTCTGGTTAATGTTTGTTTCAGCATACCATAGCTAAAACTTCTGTCCTTTTTTTTTTTTTTTAAATGTTTAGGTTCATTGTTGTTTCTCTTGTGCAGATGAATATATAGAAGGGATGATAAGCCGGGGCAGACAAGTACGATGTTTATGGGTCTATGCTTCAGAATCAGGTTCATGTTCGGCAATGCATGCGATTCTTTGGGAGCTTCAGAGGAAAGTAAGACTGTTTCACCAGTCTACGGAAACATTCTGGTTGCACAATGGATCTGTTGTAAATAGAAACTTGGTAGAATTTTCGGAGTGGAGATTGCCAATGCCTTTGCCTTGATTATGGCATGGAATCATCTACATAGCTTCTTTGTATAGTTTCTGTGTCTTTCTGAAGTTCATATGTTCATTATTTTTTCATATCTAAAGTTTTTGTTGTATATTGTGTATTGACATTTTTTTTCAGCTTAGTGAGAAAAATCTTACCTCTCTGGGACCATGTGCACTCATAGAATTAATTGTAAGTTAATATGAGGGTGGATCCATGTGCACTCATAGAATTAATTGTAAATTATGAGGGTGGATCCATTGGCCATTTTGATTTTGATAATGCATTTTTGCTTGCCATACACAGTTAATTACTTAATTTGTCTTGGGATTTTTTTTTATCAAACGATAGTCTATATTAAATTCATTTAAACTATGAATTGGGGATTCAAACTCTATGTTGGCAATTTGCCAATGAGTTGATTCTGCTTCGTGGGTATTTGTTTTTTGTCTGCTCGCGTCCACAGCTTCTTGGTTAAGAACGTTTATTTTGCACTTGAGATTCTATTTTTGAATTCCGCTTCCCTAAAAATAGAACGGACCGTAAAAAGGACACTCAGAACTAAAAGGTAAGCCAGCGCCAAAGAGATTTGATTTATTGATCACAAGTGATAAAATGCCACGTGTCAGTCCGAAAACGATTAGGGAAAAGTCCAGGATTTGTGCACCACAAAATACTCAAAATCCCAGAAGGACCGAGAACCTCAACTTGTACAGCATTCGCTTGCCAGATGCACAGAGTTTGTTAATCAAAACACTTTGTATTGGTCTTTCCAGAAAACTTTTAAGGGGAGTCTGAAATTCTCACTCGTCTTGTGCTTCAAAAGTGGTGGAGGAAATGAGAACAGCCTCACTTACCGGTTGGAGCTTCTCCTGGACTCATCAGCGGCAAGCAATTCCTTCCCACAATTTGGTTGTTCAGTCTTCATTGGAGCATGGAAATTGCAGGACAAAAGTTGGCTCAAGTTCGACAGAGAGTGGCTTGGTTGATGGAGAAGCTGAGAATTTCTCCGGGATTTTGAAGAGACGATCAGTGTTGCTTTCTGCAGGAGCTTCTTTGTTTTCTTCTCAAGTGTTGGGTTTTCCGAGAGAGGTATTGGCAGTGGTGAAACAAGGTCTTCTAGCCGGCCGGATTCCCGGTCTGTCCGAACCGGATGAACAAGGTTGGTATCCTTCATCTTACACTGCTCGTAGCAAGTTAGCAACAAACAATAGTTAAGAGAAATAAGGAAAAACTATATATAATGTAGAAAACTGATTTCAGCACGCTCCTGTTTATTTCTAGCCTTCGGATTGAATGAACTAAAAGAGAATCAAGGACAAAAATAAATAGGGTGTGCAGAAGGAGAAAAAGAGTGCGGAAATCATTTACCTATTGTAAATATTCTCTTTCAAAATCTACACATTTTAGTTGTACTATGAGATATTGTGTTATCCTCTGCTGCTTTTGATTAAAAAAAAAATTATATCGTGTTATCCAGACAGTATTTGGACCATATTTCATGTTTCACAAATACTATGAATATTTGCATACATTTGAGCATAATCCATTATCCATATGTTATGCATAGACTGTCCCTTTTGAAAATTAAAAGTTCACAAGGCCAAAGGAATTGGTATTTCAAGACAAAAATTGCTTTTATCTGCCTTTGATTATATGTAAATGGTCTCATTCACTGGTAAGTATATGCTTAGACAGGTTGGAGGACATACCAAAGACCAGATGAGAAGTCCGGAGGGCATGGCGTTGGTTGGAGCCCTATCATCCCTTATCGCTTTTCAGTTCCTCAAGATTGGGAAGAGGTAATAATCAAATCTGTTAAAGCCAAGAGCTTGTGTTGTACATGATATTGGTGTTGCTAAAGAACATGAAAGATTTAAAATTGAGTTATCCTTTCTTGCATCTTCTCCTCCAAGAAATCATGTTTTACCTTCTGCTGAGAACTGCCTCAATTTTGCATATTTGTCTTCTTTTCCATGCAACAGGTTCCAGTATCAATAGCGGATCTAGGCGGTACAGAGATCGATTTGAGATTTGGTAGCCCAAAGGAGGGACGCATTTCTGTCATTGTCGCTCCTGTTCTGAGATTTGCAGATAGTGAGTCTTGATATAAATCAAGATTTTTCCTTTTATTTCTGCAACATGACAGAAAAACTCAGATGCCAGTGCAGTTATATTAGCTGGGTCAATCTTTAACATGAAATTTAAACTCGTGTTGTGACTCACAGATTTAGATGGAGATGCCACAATTGAGAAAATTGGACGTCCAGAGACGGTAATAAATGCATTTGGACCCGAAGTTATTGGCGAAAATGTTGAAGGAAAGGTTATGAGCATAACTGTTGTACAAGACTCTGGAAGAACATATTACCAGTATGAGTTGGAGCCACCTCATGCTCTGATAACAGCAACTGCAGCTGGGAACCGCCTGTACTTGTTTAGCGTAACTGGAAGTGGTACGGATACTTTTTCTACTTTGACATGCTTCTTATTATGAAAAAAAAAAATGATTCAATAGCCATACCTGAAGACATAATAAATGCATACTTGCTTTGGATTTTGTAGGTCTTCAATGGAAGAGGCATTACAAGGACTTGAAGAAAATAGCCGACTCCTTCCGTGTCGTCTAAGTGATTTTTTGTAATCTGAGGTAGCATAAAGATAAAATCCTTCATTTTGATTTTCGTAAGGGGAAAAAGAAGGAAAGTCTGTGCAGTATAGATGAGTTCTTTGTTACGACAATTGGCAAAATTGTGTTGAATGTGCAGAATACATTGTTGCTAAAATCTCTTTGAAGATCCATTGCTCTGATTTCATGTTCAGAAGTAGATACAAGCTGCCACTCCAGTTTTATTCAATGCCTAAACCAACCATTTCCGTTATCCATTGCTGTGATTTCATGTTCAGACGTAAATACTCCTCTGATTTTACGGATAAGCCTGACATTTTGCTCCCAATCAATTCTTTGCTCATTATAAGGTTGTTTGAAAAAAGGTGTTTGAATTCGTTGAAAGAAATCATCTGCGGGATCGCCAGAACTAAGCTTCCTTTCAAACACTATGTTGGCATGCAGTAACTAAGGCGGAAGCTACCACCATGTCTTAAGCTGCTGCTCTTTCACAGAGCAATGGTTTACCTAGAAGTACCATATACACGTTATGTGCCACTGGGCACAAATGAACTGCGAGCCGGTGTCTTTTCAAAGCCTTCACTTATCATGTCAATCCTCGTCCGTTCAGCTTTCTCCCATCTATCACAGGCAGCATATATATTTGACAGAAGCACATAATGTGAATTATCACCTGACCCAACGTTTGAATTGAGGGTGCTAATATCCTTCACTACCTTTTCCGTCATCTCCATATCCATATAAATCCGGCATGCTCCAAGCATAGCCCCCCAAACCATGTCGTTTGGTTTGATTGGCATTCTCTTGATTAAAGCATAAGCCTCTCTTAATCTTCCTGCCCGTCCATAAAGGTCAACCACGCATCCAAAATGCTTAATCCCCGCTACCAAACCATAGTCCTCCATCTTGGAGAAAATTTGTATGCCTTCATCCACAAAACCCCCGTGTGCACAAGCCAACAGAACAGAAATAAAGGTTATATCATCAGGCCTTTCATTTGAATCTTCCATTCTTCCAAATAATTCAAGAGCCTCTTTGCACTGTCCGTGAATGGCCAGTCCCGAAATCATAGCATTCCAACACACAGTGTTCCTCTCAGTCATCCCCTCAAAGATCAACCTAGCATTCATCAAATCGCCACATTTTGCGTACATGTCTACAAGTGCATTCAGAACAATCTGACTAAGCTTTATCCTTCTATGGCCTAACATACTATGTATATCCTTGCCAATGTCCAACAGCCCAGACTGAGCACAGGCAGATAAAACACTCACAAAAGTAAATTCATCTGGCTCAAAGCCTTCGGCTTGCATTTTGTGAAATGAGTTCAAAGCTTCTTCACAAAATCCATTTTGCGCATAGCCAGATATCATCGAATTCCAGTTCACCAAGTTCCGGACTGGGATTCTGTCAAAGATGAACTTGGCTTCCTTAACATCACCTTTCTTGCAATACCCAGAAATCATCGATGACCACACAAAGAAATTACGCTGCGGCATTGCCCCAAAAACTTCCCTTGCCGCCTCCATCTGCCCATTGCTAGAATACCCATCAACCATTACAGTCCACACAACAACATTCTTCAACTCCTGCGGAACCTGATCAAAGAACCGCCTAGCACTAACAGTGTCTCCACTCCTCGCAAACCCGTCGATCATCTCAACCCAAGTCACAGATGTCCGCATAGACATCTTCTCAAACAAAAACAATGCAGATATTTTATCCCCACTTCTCAAGTACCCACCTATCATCGCATTCCATGTGACCAGATTTCTCTCAGGCATATAATCAAACACTTTCCGGGACTCAAAAACTTGCCCGCATTTCGCATACATGTCAACCAATGACGTGCCAACCAAGACATCAGAATTCATACCAGACTTGATAGACTCGGCGTGCAATGCCTTCCCACGATTTACGCACGAAAGAGAAGCACAGGCCTTGAGAATCAAAGGAAGAAGGCCTAAAATGTAGATTCCTTGACGCCGAATTCGGGTGTACACAAGAAGCGCTTTTGCGGGTGATCCTTGAGAGAGGTGATTCCTTATAATGTAAGACCAATTTGCAGGATTTGGTTTTTCCGTTGTTGTGCAGAAATCATGGATTTGTTTGAGGAACTTTGGATTTGAGGGGATTTGGTTTTGGTTGTTTTGAAGAGGGCAGTGGGGATTTCCATGTGGGATTTGTGACATAGTTTGTGATTCGAAGTGTTTTGTTTGTAGTTTCCACTTTCCCACTGGAATTTAAACGATACGCAATTTGGACGGAGATTGGTTCTCTTTTCTCCGCCGTCATCCGCCGAAGAGGGATTTTTTAGGTAATCTCTCACTTGTTATTTAAACTTTACAAATAATTTAATTGTTCACTACGAATTTTTTATATTAAAACAAAACCCCATAAAACTTAAAAATCTCTCACTCAATCGTAACTTAATGCAAATATGAATTGCATTTCCAATCCTCTCTATCAATTTTTTTTTCTTCTTAAAATTAAAAAACTTACAGCCACTTAATACTACGGTTTAGTGGTATTGTTCTTCACTTATAAATGAGAATTCTCCCCAAACACAAAATTGAACCATAATATTATGGCAAACTCGTTATAAGGCTTAGTGAACTCCTCTAGTAAATACTATCATTTGTTATAATAAAAAATTAAAAAATTAAAAAAACCAAAAAACTTGCTGGGGCTTCAAGAAGGAGGCAGGACTTTGTGGGCTGGAATATGTTATTGAGCCCTTGGGCCACAAGGCTTGTGGTGGGTTTATGTTGGACCAATCATTATTCTCTTTAGAGAGAGGGAGAGATTAACATACACTAGACCAATAGTAAATGAGGTATACATTGTTGTTTCGGTGGTGATCATCATGTTTAACCAAATTCAGTTACGTAATCTGTTCGCCTTCTAAACTTCCAAAATAGTGAATTGTCGTGGTCAAACCACTAGTTGATTCCTTTTTACAAAAAAAAGTTATGTAATCTGTTGTTAGTGATGTGAAAGGAAAATTATGCTTAAATGTCAGCTGTCATCCGTCAAATTCCGTCGTGTATCTTATATATGTCTATATTCATACAAATTAAAAAACAAGGTTTGTGAATTGTGTCTGTACTGCACCTCCTATATCTGTCTCAATCTTTATTCCCTTCCCTTTTGTTTTTCCTACTTAAAATTTCTCAAAATTGTTCATTGTCAATTTACAGAACATTCGTGTTTATAATCAGAACATTTATATTATAAATCACCCTAAAGATCATATCTGCAAAAAATCAATTAAAACTAAGGTTGTTTAGTCATCAAATTGTTTAAAAACAAATGAACGGTATTGGTAAAAGCATTACGAACCGTCTATTTGCTACAATATATTGACTAGACAACCTTAGTTTTAATTTATTTTTTGCAGATATGATCTTTAAAATGTGATTTATAATATGAACGGTTTTAATCATAAACACAAAATTCTGTGATTAAAACACTAAAAATTCTGAGTAGGAGCTCCTACTCATCTTTGAATTCGCCTTCATTACAACAGGGCCATTAATGTTACACCAAAACTTGCACAATTTTTAATACATACATGTAGGTCTAACATATAACAGTAGAACTCATATCTATAAGAAAATGCTTCACTAAAGTGTCAGCTTTACTTACTACATACATACATAGTGGGGATTTGGTGAATTATGATAAACATGTTATGCATGCTCTTGCACGATATATAGCAACTAAACGATACCAATCAAAAGCATATATGTGATGAAGGAAACTGAAATAACCTTTGTAACACACACACACACACACATATGTTGAAAGGTTCCTCTACACACATGTTGAAAGGTTCCGAGTTCTGAGTATTTCTCAACCCGGTTATACATAAGGGGGGATGTACAAGAGCATGAGGTTCACATTATTTTATCCTTTATTACCTGCCATTTGAACAGAAAGCAAAGCTACGTAAACATGACAAACTAACTGCGCCATGTGGTGGTGCTAGTTGAAGAAACAGCATATTGTATGACATAAGTTTGCCAAAAAATAGAAAAAATGTATTTGACGTCCATGTTTGAAACTTTCATGCAGTACTTACCTATCTCGTAGGGCACTGCGTACAGAACGGCTATATATTCAAATGAATGATCAACCAAAGATTCACCTTATTAATAACAACTAGTTGCGTCCATAACTTCGATTGCCGACGCAATGTTTATACAAATAAAAAATTGGAATTGTATTGGCCATGAAGCTTGTTTCATTCATTAATCCTCTATCCTATATATACAGGTTGGATGTCGACGATACACTGTGCTACACCTTAAAATCAGTGATGCAAGAGTCCTTCCCCTTTAGGGCAATGTAGCCTTCAACATATTTAATATCATAGACGCAACTATACTCCATGATTTGAACCTTGTCTGAGTCTCATCAATACTGAAATATATATGGTCCTACATGATAATTAAGGGGTTCCCTTTTTTTTCTTTCAAGAGAATTAGCATTCTTTGCATCTTTATATCAATATTTTCTTCCTAGATTATTGTTCTGAACTGTATGTAATCATTTGTAGCAAATAACAGGCAAAAGTTCTTGACCAGTGTATTGTTGAGGGGATTCCACTAGTGTTCAAAATCCAACATTTAATGAAAATTTTCGTGAAAGTTCACTTTTGCTCCAATTTGAACTTTAAAAAATATATATATAAAAAGTGATGTAAAAAAAATATAAAATGTCTTTGAAACATAACAACTAAACATAATATTCAACTTTCAACTTGATGGAGTAATTAGCTTTTTTGTTGGGTGTTAACAGAACCCTAGCTCAAATCTTTGAATTATATATGTACATATTTCCACCTGGAACCAATTGACAGTAACCTTACAATAATGATATTTCCAAACTGAATATAATCATATCACTTGGATTGGATTTTCAACTGAAAACGAAAGGATATATATCAGCTCAGGTTATATGTTGTTTAATTCAAAGATTACAACTTTAATTAAGGGGCAACCCTCTCTATATACACATGTATTTATGAGATTTGAAATTCTTTTTTTGTCAAACATAAAATTCATTGATAGAAAGAAGATGTTACATGAGATAAACATAAAAACAAGTTGCAATTAGGCCAAAAGGGCAAAGAAGCCCAAACAAAGTACATGATGACTCAATGAGACTT